CCCAATCCGACACCTAGTGTAGTATCATAATCGAGTCTAGGGGTTAGGTGTAATTTTCCAGTTTTGCCCATCTATCTCCAAGGTCTAGGACAATACTGGAAATCTGGTCCGGTTCAAAGTTTCTATTAATCCTACACTGCATGTGCTTCGGGTCTCACCCTGGTAGCTGAAGCCACCCCAACAGTTGGCAGCACACCAGTGTCAGTCTCCCCAGATTTACCCAATGGCTGTGAACATTCTAAACTAACACAAGTCTCATTAAGTGTCCAATTTAAGGGTATTACACAGAAACACACCACAGGAACATGAATCAAATGTGTACTTTATTCATTTACAATAAATTCATAATGTACATATTTCTGATTGAAGCTAAGGGCATACAACTGTCTAACAAGTTGATGCCTGGACTCGTTAACTGGGCACATGTTTTTGGTGCAACTAAAATTTCTTACCAACTGTTTTATCTGCTTGTTATGAGTAGGTATTTTTCCCAGACTGCTAATGGCTTTCCTTTTCTAGCTGTGGTTTAGATTTATTTCATAACTTGGGCTATCTAGTAGGTTTAGGTTTGCTAGATAATTTGGTTATTTTTCCTTCAATAGGCAGTTCAATGTTTGAATGGTTTTTCTTTTAGATTTTTTCTTTTTAAATTCTGGGTGAGGAGTTAGTATAAGGTATAGGAGCATCATTTATCTCTTTATGTTGGTACACGTGTACTCAATCGTATAATGTAAAAGGAGAATAAGTTTGCTTGTATAAGCATTATTTTACTGATGAAAGGAACTGTTTATAATTACTATTAATAATGTTTTTTCACTTACTGACAATTTCTATTTAATAAGACTTTGTTCTGTAAAGCTAGTAATATTTGCTCACTGATTATTTCTGTTTTACTTTTAGGTAACAAATACACCATGGGGTGAAAGGGTGTCATTTATTTTCAACCCAGACTCAGATTTAGTGGCAAAACCATTACATGTCAGTCCTTTTATGGTATGTTTATTTACTTTCATTTTTTTCTTTGGTTCAGGTAATCTTGGGTCTTTGGTTGGTTTCATTGTCCTAAAGTGCTGTCATTCATTTCGTACTTATAGTTTACACTTATTCAAGAATTTTGTATCCTTGGTTTTCTGTGGTCCTGTAATATTAGTTATTTTCTATTGAGAAGAAAACAGCCCCCAAAATAAACAAAACTAGTAAAGAGAGAAGAGAGAAGAGAGAAGAGAGAAGAGAGAAGAGAAGAAGAAGAAGACAATGGAAGAGAAAGGGATGAAAGAGATGAGTTGTTCGTACTCTCTCCCTTCCCTAATCTTTTAATTAATTTGGTTAATCACTAAATAACAGTAAATTACAAGTAAGCCCTTAGTGGGGTGGCTGACTGATTAAAAAAGACAATAAAGCTAATACTAAACAGGCCCATTAACTAGCCGACAAAATATAAATCCTAACTGTGGATTATGGGCCATTTGGCCCATCTTCACTACACTCCCCCTCAAGCTGAGCATAGATGTCAATCATGCCCACTTTGCTTGTATCATGTTGTAGCTTCGCCTTAGAGACTCCTTTAGTAAGAACATCGGCTAACTGTTTTTCAGATGCAATGAGGTAGACAAACTTCTCTAGTAGCCACTCTTTCTTTGATGAAATGCCTATCAATTTCAATATGCTTTGTTTTATAATGTTGTATAGGGTTGTGAGCAATGCAGTACAGCATCAGTGTCTTGTCATATGCAACACCCAATTCCTCCATCAAGGACCGTAGCCATAGCAATTCAGAAATTCTATGGGCCATAACTTTGTACTTTACCTTAGTTGAAGATCTAGCAACCACTGATTGTTTCTTGCTCCTCCAAGAAACAATATTACCTACAACCATACTACAATACCCCGAAGTTGACCTCCTATCATCAATGTTACCTGCCTAGTCAGCATCTGTATAGGCTTTCAGTTCATGCTTAGCAAAAGGAATATCTTTCCCTGGAGTACTCTTCAAGTAACATAAAATCCTCTCTGCTATTGCCATATGTATCTCTAAGTGCATGCATGAACTGGCTAATGCTACTTACAACATATGCAATGTTAGGACGAGTCATACATAAATACAACAGTTTCCCTAGCAACCTCTGAAACACTCCCCTATCCTTTAACAGTTCTCCATCGGAAGCAGAAAGCTTGTGACTTGTATCAATAGGGGTAGCTACTGGTCTTGCTCCCAATTTACTTGTTTCAGTGAAAAAAGTCAAGTACATACTTGTGTTGAGATATGAAAATGCTCTCATTAGACCGAGCCACTTTGATTCCCAAGAAATACCTCAATTCCCCTAGATCTTTGATCTCAAACTCTGCATTGAGGAATGCTTTAACGTTATCAATCCCTGTCACATTAGTGCCAGTCCCCACAATGTCATCCACATAGACTATAAGGTATACTACTAATGAACCTCTCCTCTTCATAAAGAGGATATGATTAGACTGTGTTTGTTGGCAACCAAATGTAACAAGGGCAGCTGTGAACTTCTCAAACTAGACTCTAGGTGACTGTTTGAGCCCATAGAGAGACTTTTCAACTTACACACCTTACCCTGCATATTTGGCCCATACATCCCTGGTGGGAGAGACATATAAACCTCCTCCTCATGTAATTCTCCATTCAAGAAGGTATTTTTCACGTCTAGCTGATGGAGGGGCCAATCTGTATGAGCTTTTGCAATAGGGGTTTTGTACCTTTTGCAACAGGGGCAAAGGTCTCCAAGTAGTCAATCCCATACGTCTATTTATAACCTTTTGCAACCAACCGGGTTTTGTACCTCTCAATTGAACCATTAACATGATATTTGATGGTATAAACCCATTTACAACCCACTATCTCCTTCCCTTTAGGCAAATCAACCACTTTCCATGTATCATTCTTGTGTAGTGCCTCTATCTCGGTTCTCATAGCATACCTTCATTATGGGGTAGAGAGTGCTTTTGATATAGACCTGGGTATAGGGTGAGAAGAAACAAAGGAAAGAAATGAATAATATGAAGGAGAAATTGGTTAGTAATAGCTAATACTTCTACAAAGAAAAATAGAAGTTTGTTAGAATGGGATCCGCCTCTAGAAGGTGTCATCAAGTTAAATTTTGATGGGAGCAACCAAGGTAACCCTGGGCCTTCAGGTATGGGGGGGTGTCTTGAGGAATAAGGATAGCAACATCATCTCCTCTCAGGACAGGTGGGAGTGGGGGACTCTACAAAGGTGGAAAAACTAGTTGTTGTACAAGGAATTCAGATCGCTAACCAGCTTGGGGTGGAGCATAATTCACCCAATTAGACTAATAACTAGGTTTTTTTTTTGTTATTTGGGTAATCCCCATTCGAGAAATCACGTAGATATTCCCTTAATTACATCTCTGCTAGGGGTAGAGAAAACCTTTTGATTCTGATTCAAGTACCAATGAATAGAGACTAAACTAAATATTATTTTTCTACAAAATTTTCCTTTGAAAATTCTGGTATATATTCCCTCTTTGTTTGAGAGAAAACAAGCAAATAAATAAACAAACTTTTATACATAACAAGTAAATAGGTATCATAAAAAGTCATATTTCATCAATAATGCTGCAAAGGCCTTTAAATTGTGGTTATGTGCATTTATCATGGTATGAGGAACCATAATCAACCAAGTTTCATGAACAAGGTTGTAGATGGTTTTTCCCTTCACACATAGGTTAATAGGTTGTGAGGAACCATAATCAACCAAGTTTCATGAACAAGGTTGTAGATGGTTGTCTCCCTCACATATGATTAAAATGAGACAAGGAGAAGAAGAAAAAGGAAATCATAACAACAAAGAAGGAAAGTGTGTAAAAGGAGTATAAGGAAAGAGATAAGTCTAATAGAGGAAGTTGTAGGAGTATCATAATGAAGAGGTGGAGGAGGAATACTGCAATCCCTACCTTCTTCTTTCTCCTCTTCTCCCTTTTCTTCCACACCACAATTTTCTCTTCTTTCTCTTTTGGTTTATCTCTTGTTGCTGTAAATTTTATCAACTGAATAGAATTAGCCAACAAAAATGGCATTAGCCCCTTCTCCTTGTAGGAGAAGGGTTTATATAGAGAAGGGAGGTGGTTAAGTAACTCCCCACTCCTCTTCTTAGAGTGTCAAGTGTCACCTCACTTAAAATGGGTTAAGGAGGGAAAAGAAAACTCTTCCTTCTTAAGATGACAAGTGTCCCCCCACTTAGTGGGTTAAGGAGGGAGAAGAAAACTCTCTCCCCTAGGATGGCATGTGTCCCCCCATTTAAAGTGGTTAGAGGAGGGAAAATAACTCTCTCCCCTAGGGTGACATGTGTCCCCCACTCCAAGTGGTTAAAGGAGGGAAAATAGCCTTCTTGTTAGAATAAGACAAGTTGCATCCCCTTGTAAATAAGTGGGACACCTCACAATAAATTAATTAATATGGATTTATTCTTTTAGAGCCTGTTGTTCCATTAAATGGGCTCTACTGTAGGCCCATTAAATGCTTATTGAATTACAAACAAGTCCAATTAACATGAGGCCTGTTGTTCACTAAACCAGATTGTAGGCCCCTTTCTTTACTAAAAAGTTTCAGCCCATCAATAAGATTGTCTGGGCTTATAAGAAAGCCCTTTTTCTTTAGTATTATTATTATTATTATTATTAATAATCTGTGTTTGGGAGTATCTTAATAACCTGCTCCCAGTCCAGCAAACTTAAGGACTTAATAGTAACAAGGTGGCTTCTAAACCTGGATGCTACCATTTGGGGCTACAAAGACCTCATCAAAAAAGAAAAGTGGTTAACTAGTAATATGAGAGTTGAGGTAAAATGGGTAAGCATATCAGCTAATACTATGGCTGATTCTTTGGCCAAACAGGGGGTTTTCAGGGAAGATCTTTTTTGTGCTACATTGTAACTTGTTCTATTATATTGGAAAGTTGTACTTAACTATCTTAGAGAGGTTGCATCTCGTGCCTCTCCTTGGGGACATTGTACTATATATCATTGCTGAAATAAATTTCTTTCAATTAACAAAAAAAAAAAAGAAATAAGACTATAAGAAAGATGTTTAGAAATGCAATGTGCAGTACATTTCCGTTTACCTTTGCTTATGGCAATAGGGGCATCTAGTTTGGAAAGGGAAGCTGCAAGGGTGTGACCTCAGCACTTGTTGTCTCTTCAGCAACTAGAAGTGTGGGAGACTCATGTGATGTAGGAGAAACAATTTGCTCACTCTTGGCCCTTTGCCGTTGGTACCACTTGTGAATAGTAGGAGGATGAGGAGGTAATGGTGGAGGAACAAGAATAGTGGAGGGACTGGAGGATGAGTGTTCCCCTCTGAACTCAACAGAAGAAGACTCAATAGGAACCGAAAGGGGGAGTGCAAACAACTGTGAAGACTACTCTCCCTGTGAATGATGCTTCCCCGGAGATGAACCACAGAAGGGAGTAGAATCAGCAAAAGTGACATCCATTGAGGCAAAACGAGTACCACTACTAGGATCAAAGCAGCAATAACCCTTTTGTGTGGAGGCATAACCAAGGAAGATGCATTTACATGCCTTTGGTTCAAACTTATGTCTTTGTGTACTAGAAATTTGTACATAGCAGGTACAGCCAAAGACTCGAAGGGGGAAGAGAAAATATCTCCTTATTTGGATAAATAGGATTAAAAGGAGACTTAAAACCCAAGACTCTAGATGGCATATGATTGATTAGGTATGTTGCTGTGAGAACAACATCCCCCAAAACTTTGTAGGAACATGTGAAGCAAACAAAATGCTCCTTGCAACTTCAATTACATGACGATTCTTCCTCTTAGCTACTTCATTTTATTATGGAGTATGAACACAAGAGCTTTGGTGGATAACTCCAAAGTCAGTGAGATACGAAGTGAGGTTTTTCTCAAAATATTATTTTGCATTGTCGGATTGAAATATCTTGATTCTTATATCAAACTGGATAAGAACAAATTCATGGAATTGTTTCACAAGTTTGGGAACCTCATCACAAGATCTCATAAAAAATAACCAGGTATATCGAGAAAAATCGCCAATGAACAAGATAAAATATAAATAGCCACACATAGAAGGTAAGTGGTATGACCCCCACACATTGGATTGCACAATATGGAAAAGGAAAATTTGATCTTTTATTACTTAAGGAATAAGTATTTCTACAATGTATTGATAACTCACACGACTCACAATGAAGACAGGACATATTTATTCCTTTGAACAATTTTGGAAATACATGACTCAAAGCAGAAAAGGATAAATGACCCAAATGTAAATGACATAACATAATACGACTAAACGACTTTGAAGAAGAAGACCCAAAAGCAACTCTCTCAGGCTGTCATTGGCTTTGTCTAGGAGTATCTAGTAGATATATTCCATTCGCCTCATGGCCACTCCCAATTACTTTCTGAGACTTTAGGTCCTGAAAAACACAGTAAGAAGGGAAAAAAATGTTATACTGCAGTTTAATGATTTGGTTAGGTTGCTCACTGACATCAAATTAGTGTGCAACTTAGGGACATGAAGGGCTTAAGTAAGTGAAAGGGAGTCGGTGGCCTTGATGACTCCCTTGCCAAAGATAGGAGCAAGAGAGCCATCAGCCAAGGTAATCTTATCACAGCCAGAAACTGAGAACTGGCAACCGCTCCTTGTAGACTTCACAGAATCAATCTCTACTTGGATTGATCTTCAAGAAAACTACAAAGGACCCCTTCAACCACTGAGCACCAAAGTGAAACTTCTTGTGGGACCCACAATCAGAAATCTCCAGTTGTCTAGGGTTTTAGGCAAAATTTCAAATACCTGTTTTGAAGAGTAAATAGAATATCTTCTTTTCTCCTAGAAACCACTTCCAACTGGGCTGAATATCTTCTTCAATCAATGATTCAGTTCTCTATACACATTGTGTATGGGATTAAAAGAAAAAGAAAAAAGAAGAAAAGAGGAGCCCACTCTGATACCAAGAAGAAAACAACCCCCAAAATAAACAAAACTGATAAAGAGAGGAGAAGAGAAAAGAAAAGAGAAGAGAAGACAACAAGAGAGAAGAGAAGAGAAGAAGGCGATGGAAGAAAAAGGGATGAAAGAGATGAGTTATTCGTACTCTCTCCCTTCCCTAATCTTTTCATTAATTTAGTTAATCACTAAATAACAGTAAATTACAAGTAAGCCCTTAGTGGGGTGGTTGGCTGATTAAAATAAGACAAAATAAAGCTAATACTAAACAAGTCCATAGAGGTGTAAATTGGGCCGTGCTGCTTGCAGCCCGGCGTGGCCCAGCATGACGGTCCATGGGCCGTGCTGGGCCTGGGGTTTTAGGTCCACGGGCCTGCACGGCTCGACACAGCCCATATATATTTTATATATAGTTATATATTATTATATAAATAATAATTATATAATAACATATAGTATATAATGTATTAATAAAATAAATATTTTTTTAATTTTATTATACTAATTTATTTAATTATTGCATATATAAGCATTTTTATACACAAAATTCATATAAAATTAAAATTTTAAGTTTTTTGTCTATTTTTTTTTAAATAAGTAGCTTTGGCCCGATACACGGCCCAACCTGGCCCAAGGCTCAGCCCATGGGCCAGCCCGGCCCGCGGCATGGCACAGCACGGCACGGGCCCGGGCCGTGGGCTGTGCCAGGCCCACCCCCAAAATTTTCACCAGGGAGGGCGGCACGGCTCGCGACGGCCCGCGGGGCAGCACGGCACGGCCCACACTTTGCGCGGGCTGCCCACAAGCCGAGCCATGCTGGCTCGGCATGGCACTTTACACCTCTACAGGCCCATAAGAAAAAAGGCCCATTAACTAACAGACAAGATATAAAGCATAACTGTGGGCTATGGGCCATTTGACCCATCTTCACTACATACTGTTTCTTTTAATGTTTAATATTATTTGTAGAACTTTTAATTTATTCAAAAGCTTCACTTTTTTGTTTTTTTTTAAGCATTGATCACTATTTGCATTGTAATTCATCTCTAGATGCATTTTGATGGGATAATCTCTATTTAGGTTATATGTCTCATGTCCTTTTCTATCATCATTCCAATAGAAGAAAATTCAAGTTTTAATCTCTAAATCACATAGCTAATGCATCCTGCATAAGTGAACATAAATAATTTGTAGAGGTTTTCTCAAGCTGTCCTCTCCCAGTGCTCATGGTTACCTCCTTTGCTAGGCAAATTTAGTGCACTTTTCCAGTGTTGTATTTTCACTTTTCTTGCTGATTGTTTTTACTTTGTAATATGAGCATTTATTAATGAAATTTGCCTATCAGGCTTCAAAAAAAAGGGATCTCCATAAGTGTGTGTGTGTGTATAATGTGAAGGTGTACTAGAGCAGCAGTTATTTGGACTTTATGGGAAGAAAGAAATGCTAGAATCTTCCAAGAGAGAGAAGCAAACAACAAATTATGACTGTAATGACCATGGTTATACATTGGCTCTTAATCTTGGATTTGTTTCGACAGTTATCCTTTGATGATATTTGGAGGAACTGGTATTCAGTGGCTTCTAGTTCAGTATAGAAGGATAAGATACATGTGAATTGGGCACCTCCCATTGAAGGTTTTCTGAAATTAAATTTTGATGGGAGCAGTGAAGGCAAACCAGACCCATCTGGAATTGGAGGGGCCATTAGAGATCAAGGAAGGGAATGTAGTAGCACTTTACTCAGGACCGGTGGGTAGTGGAGACTCTTTAAAGGGCTGAACTTATGCAGTCCTACAAGGTATTAAGATTGCAAAAGAACTGATCTTGGACAATCTAGTGGTTGAAGGGGAGGACTCCAAGGTGGTGGGCTGGCTAAAAGATCTGGATTCGGTGATATGGTGTTACAGGGATGAAATGAAGAAGTACGAATGGTTAACACAACATATGAATCTGGTTGTCCAATGGGTGTGGAGGGAGGCCAATGCATTGGCTGATTCTTTAGCTAAGGGTAATTAGGGAACAGTTGTACTGGGCTCAATTGTAATTTTTATGCTGTTCTTTCTTTTAGAGTGAGGCTGCACCTCAGCCTCTCTCCACGATGCAATATATATATAAGAGAGAGAGAGAGATGAAACTTCTTAGAAGTATGCATTTGAGTTAGAAAATGTGTTTTTGGATATGAAGGGAAGAGTCCTATAGATTTAGCAGCAGTGAGCTAGGAGTGATCAGAAAATGATTTAAGATATGGATAGATAGGTCCAAAGGATGAATTTAGATAGAGATTTCTGGTCTGGAAGTTAGAAGAAAAGCTGATGTATATTAGATTTTTGGCTGTAGAAATTTCTGAATGTAGAGAGCGTAGAAAGATTGGTAATTAAGAGAAACAATTAGAAAATTTTCTTAGTAGAATAGAAGGAAAGATAAAACTAATAGTAAGAGGAAAGATCTCAGAGAATAGAAGAAGAGAATAATAATTAACAAGAGCATGGTTTGTAATTTTGATATCATTGGACACTTTTCCATGTAGAGGTGGGGATATTTTGTTAAGATATTGAGGAAATTGAAAAAAAAATAGGAAAGTTTTTAAAAAATATGGAGTTAGTTAATAAACTTTCAAGGAATCTTTAGAAGTATAATTGCACATTTTAGGCTAAAAAACAATAGCAAACAACTATATAAATCAAATAAGAGAAGATTAAGGCTTAAATAGGTATTTTTATGTGTCTCCCTTTTACAGTTTTGGTCTTTTAGCCATATTGTCTTCTTTATGCATATCATTTTTTGCCATTTTGACTTTTGTATTTCAGCCTCTTCTTTACATGTCTTGCCATTTTGCAAATTTTATACATCATTTGCTTGCCATTGGGTGAGTCACCCAATTCTTCTCAATTTTTTTTTTTTTTTTAGGGGGGGGTGTGTTGTAAAATTAATTAAACACCTTTCCAGATCCAGAAAAACTTGGAAACTATGTACTTTCAAATGACTTTTTCTTGATAATAAAAAAATTAAAAGAGGAAGATCATAAGGAATCACTCGAGAGAGAAAGAAAATCCCAAACAGCAAAATCAATACACTTGTGTCCAACCCGAATCCCAAACAAAAAGAAGAATTCCTCGCAAAACCAACATTATTCCTCCCCAACAAAATCCTCATCCAGATCTTCTCCCTCATCCCATGCCTCCCCTTCTTCCTACAAAGTGGTCTTCTTGCGCCTCTCCTCCTCCGTACTCCTTTCTTGAAATTCTTTGAAAGCTCTTCTAGTAAAAGCCTCTCTATCCCCCCAAAAAAAATCCCAAATCTTTAAGAATTTTAATGTCTCTATCCGCAAGCCTCTTCACATCCATTCCACCACCAAAATCTTTCTCCAGAACTGCAGAATTCTTTTCATCTCTCCCTAAGACTTTGCATTCTTCCTCTTCTTTTCCTGTTTCCTTAGAATCTCCCAACCTCTTGAACTCCCCTTCAAGCACCCGCTCTGCAGAAACATTTGGACTGTCATCACCATCCCCACAAAAATTCTTCTGGTTAATAGATTTCTTGCTCAGCCCTCTTCTTCCATACACCCTCTTATATTTGTTTGAAGGACCAGTTCCAATCAGCCCCCCCTTTCAAACAAGAGATTTACTAGGATCCCTACGTTTCTTCATTTTTAAATTACTTATCCAATCAATCCTCGATAACATCAATTTGTTAATTAGAACCTCCTCTTAAGATTGTCTAGTCAGTTGGACCTGCAAGAGCCTTGTAAGTCCCCATGTTTGAAAACCTCAGTTTTCCCCAGGAACCACCTGAAACAGAGGGTAGTCAAACGAAGGATCTTTCTTCTTTGGGATATATAGTTTTTTCACATTAGTTTCCTTTACTGATCAAAAAGGTATTTTTTGTATGCATGGCTTTATGGAATTTGTTGTTTTTTATTCCATCATTTGCTGCTTGTTGCTGCATATGCACTCTTACTGAGATATTTTTGGAACGAAAACTATGGGGAATAAATGCAGGATATGCTTGGAAACTGGAAAATGAAAGCAAATGAACCTGGGGCTAATATCTTCATAACAATTTCAGTTCAACATCCCAATCTTGGTGACTATTTCACAGCTACTTTAACAGCCCAGCGCATCTCTTCTTCTATGGTGAATGATCTGGAAATGTTCTTCTGGTTGATGCCTCAAAAAGTTGCTCTGTGGATATACTGGCACGTAAGTGGTATTGAGGTTTCATGCCCTTTTCTTTAAATAGAACCTAGTGAGCAGAAGTAGATAGAATTGTACTGCATGAAAGATAGTTAAAACCAATGTTGGAAGTTAGAACAGCTGTAGGAGAGATCAGATTTTATGGTTACAATGGGTCTTTACTAAGGTTCAGCACTTGGCCCTTTTTTATTTGCACTGATCAAAGCTGAATGGACTAAACATATCTAGGAGGAGGTGCATGCTGTTTGTTGATTTCATTGTTTTAATTGATGAAACTAATGAAAGATTAAATGTAAAATTAACTGTGGACAAATACCTTAGAAGCAAGAGGTTTTATAATTAGTAGGATTAAAACATAATATATGCTATGTAAATGAGTAGAAATCACTGATTGCAGATTTAGTTGAATTCCTTGTGAAGGGAAAGACGAAGAAGATGAAGATTTCAGCAGTAGAGAAGAAAAGAGTAGGAAGTCAACCAGGATTCTTAGATTAACCCTAGCTGCCAACCCCTCATTATAATTTATACTTAACTTAAAGGATGAGATATTACAAGAATGCCCTTAGTAGGGCGGCTACTAAAGTAGCTGAACAGTCACAACTTAAAAACATAAACTAATGGGCCTAAAGCCCGACAACTTCCTAACTAAATAACTTGAAATAAGAATAAAAACAATTAGGCCCAACTCAACACTCCCCCTCAAGTTGGGAGTAAATGTCACACATTCCCAACTTGCATAGGTCATGCTCTAGCTTGTTCTTTGCAACACCTTTTGTGAGAACATTAACGAGCTACAGATCAGAAGCAATGTATGGAAGACAAATTCTCTAGAAGTCACTCTTTCTCTGATAAAATGTCTATCCACTTCAATGTGCTTAGTTTGGTCATGTTGGACTGGGTTATGGACAATGTTAGTTGTTGCCTGGTTATCACAGTACATCATAGGTTCTTCTGCCTGTACACCAATTTCTTCTAATAGGGAACGGATCCAGAGAAGTTCTGAAACTCCATGTGTCATGGCCCTGTATTCAGCTTCAGCACTTGATCTTGCCACCACTGTTTGTTTCTTACTCTTCTACGAGAAAGGGTTACCCCCAAAAAGGGTGCACACTCCTGAAGTTGATCTCCTGTCATCAAGGCATCCTACCCAATCTGCACTTGTGTAAGCCTTTAGTTTCAACTATCCATGATCAGTAAACAATATGCCTCTGCCCGGTTGTCCCTTCAGATAAGCAAGAATCTTGTCAACTGCCTCCCAATGCTAGACTCGTGGAGCATGCATGTATTGACTTACCACACTTACTGCATAGGAAATGTCTGGTCTTGTCATACACAAGTATAGCAGCCGACCCACAAGTCTCTGATATCTCCTAATGTCCTTTACTGGCTCACCTTCTGATGCATTGATTCTACGGTTCTGATCAATAGGGGTACTAATTGCCTTCGTTCCAAGCTTCCCTGTTTCTTAAAGAAGATCCAAGACATCCTTTGAGAGATAAAAATTCCATGTTTTGATCTTGCAATTTCAATGCCTAAGAAGTATCGCAATTCTCTAAGATCCTTAATTTCAAATTCTTTATGTAGATTCCTTTTCAGACAATCAATCTCACTTGGGTCATTCCTTGTAATGGCGAAAGAGGCAAAAGAAGCAATCTATAGAAAGATTTGGTGCCGCTCACTAAATTCTATGGTTAATGAACAACAATATCATCCACATAAACAATTAGGATTGACACCGAAGATCCCCTTCGCTTCACAAACAAGGTATGATCGGATTGAGTCTGAGTGTAGCCAAAAGCAATCAAGGCCTTTCTGAATCTGTCAAACCATGCTCTGGGAGATTGTTTCAAGCCATAAAGTGACTTCTTAAGCCTGAATACCTTTCCCTTTTTAGCATCACTGTAGAAGCCACCAGGAAGATCCATATACACTTCCTCTTGCGGATCCCCATTTAGAAAAGCATTCTTCACATCAAGTTGAAACAAGGGCCAAGAGTATGTGGTAGCAAGAGAAAGAAGTATCCGAACAGAGGTCATCTTTGCAATTAGTGCAAAGGTCTCTAAGTAATCAATGCCATAGGTTTGTGTGTACCCTTTTGCAACAAGTCTGGCCTTGTACCTTTCTATACTTCCATCTGCCTTATATTTTACCGTGTAAACCCATCTACATCCAATTGTCTCCTTCCCTCTGGTAGATCCACAATGTTCCATGTCTGATTCTTAATCAAAGCCTTCATCTCTTCCTGCATAGCTGTCTTCCACTTAGGTTTGGAGAGAGCCTCAGTAACACTCTTGGGTATAGACACAAAGTCAAGAGAGGAAAGAAAAGCACGATATGAAGAAAAAGTCCATTGTAGGACAAGTACTGTGAAATACAATGAGCAATACACTTTCTCTTCCCTTTTTTGAGAGCAATAGGAAGATCGAGGTTATCTGTAACAGGGTTAGTAGAATCAATGGGAACTAAAACAGTAGGGGGATCAAGAGGAATACTTGAACCCATGTCAGCTGAATCTGGAGTCTCCAAGGAACCAACAGGAAGTGATGTGAGTTTTGCTGTAGTTGAACCAACCTCCCTGTGAAGTCTCTGTCGTGAGTAATGCTGAGAAGCAGGACACAAAGGAGGTGGTAAGGTAGGTGACACAGGAGGGTCAAGCACAGGAGTAGTCACAGGGACTGGAACTGGGAGAGGAATAGATTGCTGACTCACTTCCCCAAAACACTCCCCCTGAGAAGGATTCTTTGAGAAGAAGTATATGGATTAAAAAAAGGTGACATCCATGGTAACATACCGGCTCCCAGAGATTGGATCATAGCAGCAATACCCTTTCTGATTTTCTGCATATTCAAGGAAGACACACTTCTTTGCCTTGGGATCAAGCTTCGAGCGGTGAGGACCAAGGATATGTGCAAAGCAGACACACCCAAACACCTTGAGAGGAGTATGAAACATCTTCCCCTCAGGAAAAATGAGACTGAATGGGGTGCTGAATCCAAGTATACGAGAGGGCACCCTATTAATTAGATATACTGCTTTGAGAACTGCATCACCCCAAAACCAAACTGGAACTGTAGATGTGATCATCATGCTTCTTGCAATTTCAACAATGTGTTTGTTCTTCCTTTCTACAACACCATTCTGCTATGGATTGTAGGGACAACTGCTCTGATGGACAACACCATATTCTAACAGATATGAGGCAAGGTGTTTTTCAAAATATACCCTGGCATTGTCTGATTTTAACACCTTTATTCTTGTTCCAAACTGTGTTAGCACCATTTGATGAAATTGCCTCACCAAGGATGGTACTTCATCACGGGATCTCATCAGGTAAATCCAAGAGTATCGTGAGAAATCATCCACAAATAAGAGAAAATATCGATAGCCTCCCTTAGAAGGAACATGGTAAGGTCCTCACACATCAGAATGAATAACATCAAAAGAAGAAGAACACCTTTTATTACTAGGTTTAGATGAATGTCTACAATGCTTTCCAAGTTGACAACCTTCACACTCCAGACTTGACAAACTAACATACTCAAAAAGTTTGGAAACAAAAGACTCAAAGAAGAAAAAGGTAAATAACCCAAACGATTATACTAAAGCATAATTTGACCCACAGACCCTGACTCACTATCCTTGTTGACATGATGACTCTGATGAGGAGGAAGCACATCCAGGAGGTAGATTCCATTCACTTCATGACCACTCCCAATCGTCCTCTTTGAATCCAGATCTTGCAAAATACAATGACTAGGAGAAAAAATTACTTAACAGTTCAGGTTTCTTAATCAAACTACTAACAGATAACAAATTAGTGCTCAATCTAGGAACATGAAGGACAAAGGGAAGGGAAATAGAATCACTAATCTTGACAGATCCCTTCCCAGCAATGGGAACATGGGATCTATTAGCTGTAGAGACCCTATCTCTGCCAGAACAGAGCTGGTAAGAGGAAAAAATAGTAGAGCTATGGATCATGTGCTCTGAGGCTTCAGAATCTATAATCCAAGGAGGTCCCTCCTTACTTGAAGTAGAAACATAATTTGTAGTGACATGTGAACTACATGTATGAGCAAAGGAAGTAGAGTAGACTCCACCAGTACCACCTGTACCTTGTTGTCTGCTTGCTGCTGACTGGAACTGGTTGTATCCCGCTGGTTCAGAAGTTGCCCATACCTCTAAAGTTCGGCCCTTACTGCAGCAGCTGCAACAGACTCCAGAGCAGCTGTAGTAGGAGGGGCCAGAATGTCACCAGTAACTTCCATGTGAGCATTTACCTTTTTATTTTTCAGTCTATTCGGCCCAAGATGTGGGTGAAGCTTCCAACAAGTATCTCTTGTGCGTTTAGGCTTCTTACAGTAGTCACAGATCAAATCTCTTTTATCTTCCTTGATTTCACTGCCACCCCGATCTCTACTTTGTTTAAGTTTCACAGTACTCACCATGGCAAACTGATTAAAAACAGGATTTTTTATCATCACATCTCTCCTACTCTCCTCCCCTAACACAAAGGCATATGCCTGGGAGAGAGTAACACTGTCCCTGGAAAGAAGATGTTGTCTTGCAATATCATACTCAGGATTAAGGCCAGCAAGAAATTCAAACGCCCTATACTTCTCTAGATGTTTCTGATAGTAGCTGCATCCTTAGTGGTTTCCCAAGCAAATGTCTCTAAATGGTCAATCTCCTGCCATAGTGTTTTAACAGTGAAAAATAGGCTGCAATAGGTCTATCTCCCTACATTGTAGAAATAATCTGATTTCTCAACTGATAAGCCCTAGCAACATTCTCCCTCTGTGAATAGGTTTCTGCAACCCCATCCCATATTTCCTTTGTTGTATTTGTCCATAAAAAGTTTTTACTTATATGGGGCAACATGGAGTTACACAACCAAGTCATCACCATATAATTCTCCTGTACCCACTGGGAGTTGCTAGTTTCGGGTTTCACTTATTCACCAGTGATATACCCTAATTTCCCACGAGCACCAATGGCCATCTTTG